ATGGAATCCAGAAAAGAAAGAAAAAGATCAATGCAGAATAAAGAGAAACAATTTTATTAAAAACACTTATACAAAGTTATATTTGAATTTAGGTATCATCTTAAGAACATTTTAATAATCTCTAGTCTTTATGAAATTTTAAGATTCATTTGCAATTCTAATATTATACTGTGTACCATAGGTCTAATTTACCTAAGTTCTTCCTACAATGCAAGGGACCCACAAAAACAGGTCTCTTTCCACTGGAGATCTGCTTTATTTCACAAGTAATAAAAGACATGAAATCCCATTATGAAATTTGAGGTCAGAATCCTAGGGTATAAACTTGAGCTGCAATTTACAAAATATTATTGTATCACTGGGCATGACTAGAATTGGATAAAGTACTTGTAGATCAGATCAAATCAAGAAAAATTTATTTGGAACCTACCACGTGGGAGGCGTCATGCCAGAGAGCACAGACTTCCTAGGATGTCCTAGAAAGATGACTTCAGATCAGTGCAAAGACAGAGAGAGCACAGACATGATTTTAATTTATAGGGTTGGAAAGGTACAAGGCCATAAAATAAGACACCTGTTGTCCTGCATTTATGTTAAAGGTTTTGTCTTTTTAAAAAATAATCAGAAACACATAATCATTATTCTTGACATAAATTACACTTTAGATTGGGGGTGGAAATCATGTTTTAAGAATAGGAAGGGAAGGAAAAGTAAAACCAACTGCATGTAATTTTTCAAGTGGAAACAACGGCAATATGAAGATATATGGGTGTCAGACCTACCGGTAGAGGAAGGAGGCTGTGCTCTCTTACCTCTCACGGTGTCACTCCTGCGACCTCTACCATTTGAAATGCTTTGATTCCACCTTGCCCAAGGGACCCGTGAGCACCAGGGAAAGGGATGAAGGATGCCTATGCTTGACCTCACCTTTACATTGTCTAACGACTGAAGGTATAAATCAGCTTTCCCCTTGAAGACCCGAGTGTCAGAAGCTCATGTGAAATGCTGGAAATATTAAATGATGTCCCTGAGGGGTTTATTGTTACTCAGTTTTCTCCTGTAACTGGGAGAGCTGTTCACATGAAGGATACTCTCCCTCAGGACCTCAATTTGTATATACAATGAAGTATGAAACTCCAACAACTTCTTGCCATTTTGGAAAGAAAATAAACAATTAGTGGAGGCTGCACTTCTCCCGTTGTCCTGTATATATTTCATTTATCTCTCTGCTTATTCCTGGAGAAGAGTTCAAACCAACATAGGTGTGAAAACATTCCCATTATGCATCCTTATGTCCAGGGCAATAAATCTGCAATGGTTAAAAAGTCTCCACAGACAATGCAATGTGTTTTAGTAATTAGAACAAAAGCTCTTCCTTTTATCCTATTTAGCAGAGGAAGTGTGCTAATAATTAGAACTGAGGGGCGACTGCCCAGATGCCAGGGTTGCATGTCTAGCTGTGACTTGGGCCTATATCCGAATCTTTCTTCCATAATCTTTCTGTAGGATTTAAAAAATCTATGGACTCTTAAATCTCCTGATACACTTTGATTCATTAATCCTCACCACCACCTCTATAATAATAATAATTATCTATAATAAGAAAAAGGGTCATTTTTCTTTTGATGGAGAAGTTAAAGTGACTTGCTCAAGCCTCCCAGTTAGTAAGTGGACAAGGCAGGAACAGAAGTAAGAAATTCTCATGCCAATACTTTACATTAATCTCTACACATCTCAATCTTTCTCCTTCCTCTCTCCATCAAAGGTTTGAAGTACTGCTACACAAAGAATATAGTCCCTATTATAGAGACATTACTATACATTTACATACAGCTTTAAAAATTTTGGAGCACTTTCAAACAGCTTCCTTAATTCAATTTTTGTAATAGCCCTACTGAGGTAGGTATTCACAGAATCTGGAAGGAGAGGATAAAAAGTACAAAGAAACAGCTAAAAGAGTTGAGAAGAAAATCCAGTGAAACATGAAGGATTATCTAAGACACTGTAGAATCTTAATTAACCTAGGTTTGTAAAAGCTAGATACATGAAAATATTGATTAGCCTGGCTGTGCCTGTGCTATATTAGGGAATTGATTACTAAATGACCCTCTGCTCTGTGTTCTAAGTTTGTATTCCAGGTATGAAAGGATATTCAGAGAGTGTAATGTGCTCTTTTAACATGAGCTCTCTAGCCATTTAACTATGGCTGCATTTGGGGTGAGTGGCACTGCTTTTCTAGGGGCAAGAGAAAGTGGGCAGGCTGAAGGCAATTCCAAATAGACAATGAAGGAAAATAAAGAAATAGGTTCTTTTCCCCCTAGAAGTCTAAAACATCTTCTGAAACTGGCTCAGTGGTTTTGTTTTTCTTGTTTTGCAAGTAGAATTGGTGCTGCTTAAGTGGTGTGTGTTTAACGAAACTGAAAAAGGGTCCTTCCAAAACACCTTCTCAACAGACTTCCTTAATCCCTAAAATTCCATCATTTGGAGACCATTACCTTAGACCAAAGCACTATTCCCTGTTGAACTACAAATGTTGTGTGGAGAGAGAGTACATTAAGTGAGGTGCTCCCATCCACAAGCTGGTACCTCCTGGATCACTGGGAGAAGGGAACACAGAGTTCCAGCTCTCCTGGAGACAAGGCACAGCTGTTTGTACCCATGCAGTGGACCACCAAGCAGAGACAACTGATAGAAGTATATTGGGCAGTGACTCCTACCCATGAGGTTGCATGGGTGTGGTTGATAGCACTACATTGAGCCATTATCAGTCATCAGCACTTTAGAGCAGTGGTTCTTAACAGTGCTGCACATCAGAACAGACCTTTTAAAAGATAGTGATGCCTGAACTGCATCCCAGGTATGCTGAATCAGGATCACCTGGGGGATGGGCTTGAGGTGTATTTATTTTTAAAAAGCTCTATGGATGGTTCTAATGTCCACCTAGGGCTGAGGACCACAGCCTCGGAGTAAATTTGTGTGTTAGGTCCTTGCCACTTTGATGGCTTGCTGGTTGGCCTTGGTGATGTGGGCCCAGGTGCGCCCCAGGTGGGGGACCTGGACACTGAGTGCCAGAACGGGCATGAGAGGCAAGAGAGATGTTGTAGTAAGCAATAAAGTAAACAAAGGTGACCTGGGAAAGATGACTTGTATACAATTACAATTTTGGCAAACTACGCAGGACTATTACCACCAAGACTTGAAGAAACAACATTAATCTAAGAAAGAACTTTTGCATAACACCATTTGAGAAATATCAGTGAAATTATTATCTATGCTTATATAACTCTGGCTTATTTCAACCTTTCAAATGGCTGAAGAAGGCACTTATAGTTGCTTTATTACTGTGGTATCTCTTCCATCTCATTCTTTGTAGTTTCTCTCTAAGTCTTACCCTACTTAGCTTGTCCTTGGTTATCCCCTGAAGGGTGTCGTTACCAGGTGTATCAGCTAGGATTAGGATTAGTTCAGCCAATGTGACAGAAAACCCCAAATAACAGAGGCCTTAACAAAACAGAAGACAATTTCTCCCTCATAGATAAAAAGACTGGAGGGAGACAGCCTGGGGATGGGAGAGCACTCCTATCCTGTCTCCACCATCTTTATAAAGCATGTGATTTCTTCAAAGTCTAAGCTGGCTCCAGCTCCAGCCAACAGGAAGGAGGAAAGGGGCAACACAGAGAACCTCCTCCTCCCCACTTAAGGACACTAGTGTGTGGTTCTAGAAATTGCAACATCCCTTCCACATTCCACCAGCCTGAGTTTAAGTCACATGGTGGGATTTTGTTGCCAGGGCTGTAGGGAGGCAGGCAGTTGTTCTGAGCAGCCACGAGCCCATCTAAAAAGGCAGAGGAGAGAATAGATACTGGGGGTTAGCTAGCAGTCTCAGCCACACCAGGAATACTGCACACAGCTAAACAAGTATTGGCAGTCACCTTATGAACCTAGAATATCCCATAGGAAAAAAAGCAAATGAGTGTCGTAAGAGAAGACTGCTTAATTCCAGGTGTTGGGTAATTCGTGGTGATTAGAGGAAAGTGTTTTCCACTAATGAAGAGTGAGAATTTGTTGAAAGTAGTTATCTGTGGCCCAAGAGTCATAACAGAGGCCTCAAATAAATGAAGTGTTGGTTTGTCTTTTGAAAGGTTATGCTTCCTCTTGGAATTATGTGATTCAAAAGTCCACCTCTTGCCTAATGAAGGACTGGAATACTCTTGCCCGAGTCCCTGGAGTCAACTTCTGTCAGGAACAGGACAACATATGAGACCACACTAACTGTTCGTGCTCACACTGCTAACTAGGAGAAATGTTAATACTAATTTCATATATAAATTCTGCATAGATGTGCTTTAAAAAGATTCTGATCAATGAAAAGGTATACTTTCCCCCAACTCTAGGGCTCCACATTTGTGATGGCTACAGATAATGTCAGTACCACCCAGTGACAGATCTTAAGAGTACAACCAGAAGAATGCTGTTCCACAAGTGTGTGGTCTAAAATGCAAGAAATCTGTTTGACTTTATGGCTGTATTTGGATTGCTTCATTGTCTAGGATGATTTTAAAAGCCAAGAACTGTGTCTTTCCCCATCTGATCTCCCTAAATCATGCAATAGGCTTGTTTCCTTTCTTTGCATTTCTCTTTTGTCCCAGCTGACTGAATGTATGGCCATTTGGCTCAGATAGAGCACAGTCCTAAGGAGACCACAGTGACAGGTTTTAGCCCTAGATAGGTGGATTGGTGTGCAGAATACGATTCTGTTCCATGTCTAGTTGGCTTGTAGCTACCCCTGGCTAGCTACTCTGAGGGAATGCATGCTTCTCAAAAGGGGAACTGAGCAAGACAGAGTGGGTTTCTCAGGAGAATTAAGCTGTACTGTTGGAAAAGCCTGGCAAAGGTCCTTATACAGAGTCGCTGGACCAGAAGTATCTCTATACAAAGAGGAACACAAAGCAGTTTGGCTATGAAATGGTCTCTCTGACAATAGGCCATCCTACTTCCAGGAGACTATGACCTAGCAGCTTGGAGACTGAACTGCAACATCAGGAATGGAAAAGAAAGCTGGAGTGGCAACAGCAATGTCATGTTCAGAGGACAAGGCTCAGGGATCTTCATTTCTGCTTCATGCTTGATCTGGGGCACCACATTCTATTTGCAACCCTACCTCAGTGTTTCCCACCCCCAGGTGAGTTCTCATTATGTTGTTGAAGAAAATCATCTCCCCAACAGGCAAGAAATTTGCCATTGTTTTTACTTGTTCTTGATAGAAGTGTCATTTCTCACCACAAAGGAAGACTTTTTTTCCCTCCTCTTATCAAAATCTGTCAGTCTGTCCACACAACCTGGAGGACAAATGTGTTTTTTATCCCTTTGTGAACACATGTAGCTCAGCACCTGCACAGCACTCAAGGGTGGCCAGCCCTCGTCCTGACTCTGAGCTGGCTGCTGCTCTTGGAGAGAGAAAGTAAAAATGATTGATTCAACATCTTTAATTAAGATAAACAAACAAAGAGGAACATCAAATAATGGCCCTGACAGTTTGAAACAAACTGAAAATACAGCTTAGCATTTCATAAAAGAAAGAGCGTTTGATGTGAGGATGGCAGTTCAATAATTTGTAAATATCACTGGCTTGGTAGTATAGCTAATCCAAATATTTTCATTTCTCCTCATAAGTTACCCTCTGCTGATAGCTTGTTCCCTTCAACTTACAGCTTTCACCCTGGAGCCTTCAACAGAGGCAGAGAGGAGAGGAAGAGAAAGGATCACAGGTTCTCTGTGGAATGTGAATTACATTGTCAACTTCCTTTATACTTTCTGATTCTAACTATTCACTGGGAAATACCACTGACCAGCTCAAAGGATTTACTGCCCTTTTCTTCACCTCGCTACTAAAAAGTATCAAGTTTAAATTATTATAGCTTTCCATTAGCTTCTGTTTTCTTAATTAAGAGAATCTGGGCTCCCCCCATTCCTAAATTATAGAGAAATGGGGAAATGGGACAACCATACTCATTATAATGTTCCTATAATGCTGTTTCTATATCATAATGAAATAGCTATACATCTATATCTAAAATGTGTTTTATTGCCTTAATGCCCTACAAGGAAGGGTAGTGGGGGATAAGGATGTCCTTGTTAGTGCCTATGTCTAAACTATCCTTGGGTGTGTATGGAGGATAAGCAGGAAGTTGCGATGACAATTAAAAAGATGAATCTGGGAACCTCTGTGTTGGCCAGAGCATTGTGATTTAGCTCTTACGAAAAATATATTCGGAGAAAGAGTAGGTGATTTTAACAATTTATGTGCAATTTCCAAGGGTGCAAGCCAGAAATTATATTTGTGGAGGAACACCATTGGGCAGACAGAGGCTTTGGGCTTTCTACAAAGGTGTGTAAAAAGGGAAGGGTGAGGATGCAGACCTAGGAGACCAGCCTGCAGCTGGATTTGATTCTAGGTTCAGGTTCATTCTTTCATGGCTTTTGCCATTTTTTTTTTAAAGGTTCTTAACAGTAATTTTATTTTTTTTTTACTTCTCTTGGATGATACCAAGCCCAGGCCTGAGACACACTGGAAAATATCAAGGCATTGAGTGGCCCACAGAGGGAAGCTGCAGTTCAGAGGATTCTCCACAGGGAAGCAGTATGAGATCAGGGTTTAGATAGAGGCAGCCCTAGCTCCACCTGCTTTCCCTGGTTCTGATTTGAGAGTTTTCCCCTTTCCTTCTGCTGAGTAAGATGAGCACCAACAGGGCAAGCTTACCTTCAGGAAAGCCCTGAGCCTAACTACAACCCTCCACAGAGACCCTCGCTCTCAGGTCTGTTCCCCAGCACATTGCTTTGTCTATCACACCTCTGACCTGTGCATTATCTCAGATATGCCGTATGGGCTCAGGATGCCTGCCTTGGTGAAATGGCCTCGTGTTGATCTGCTGGGTTCCACACCACTGCCACAGAGGGAAACTGCATGCCTGTGGGGCATGTATTGCTCTTGGCAGTATGAATTCTGGCAACCTCTTGATGGCTGGATAACTTTTGACACTTCTTAAAAAGGAATCAGTTCTATCTCTGGTACTCTGCAGAAAATGGTGCCAGCAACAACTTGATTTTGTTTGAGTTATAGAAAGAAATACAACTTTATGGACAAAACTCTGAATAGAGAGCTTGGAACTTAGATTCTATCTTGACAATATCCCATTGATAGTGTGTGATAACAGTAAACCCACTACTTATCTCCCTTGCTTATAGAATACAAATAATATATGATACATTGCTGGTAATCTTAATAACTATGTACCCTACGTGGACTTTGCACACACACCCAGTACTTAAGATAGAAAACTTTTGCTCTTTTTGTCAGATGTTCCTAAAATCCTATTCTTTCACTGACAAGCTGGTGAATATTACATGTATCAGATTAAAACTTTCTAAGAAATTTAAATCCTGAAAATTCTTCTACTACAGTAAGCAGAAATTCCATTTGCAGCATTTCATGTGGTGTGAGTGAAAGGGGATGTGTAAGAAAGAACTGGAGTCTGGGTTTCTTAAAACATATCCCCAGGTAACCTCTTATCACACATTTTATTTTTCTACTGAAATATTTCAGAACTTCAATGTTTTTGTCAAGTTTGAGAAGTGTGTGATATTGACTTCTTCACATTGATTCCATTTTCCCCTTTATAGTCCCTCCAAACCATTTTCAGACCCCCTAAATCAGTTAGCTTTCTTCCAGGGAAACTCAGTAGAAAGCAAGCAGAAAGAAAGAAGGGAGTGAGACCTGCCCTCCCAGGGTCTCCCAGGTGACTCTGCTCCCAGATAGGATGAACAGAGATGAACAGAAGAGGAGTTTCTGAACAGGTTTCTGGTAGGACTGCTCTCAAGATGGGATCAGCTGCAAAGATGCCCAATAAAAACTGCAACTGGCCAGCTTCATCCCTCTGGGCATAAATTGGGCTAGAGAGGTAGAGACTGAGACATATATAAATAAAATGGAGAAAAAAAAATATTTGATATTTTTTCCTGTATTCCATCTTCAAAAGGTAAATAAACCAACTAGCAGTAGGAAGAATGCTATGCTTCTTATATCAGGCCATTTTAATCTTTCATAAATGCAATACTGTGTAATCTTCAGTATAGACTCTAGGTGCTCTCTTCTGACCTAATTAGACTAGGAATTTTCAGAAGTTTCATGTGATGCTACGTCCCAATGAGTTTAATGCCAAGGCTTGGTGATGTTGCGAGTACTGTCTCATCATGATTTTGTGTCTGTCTAGAAAAGGTTAGGCAAAGGTAAGAGAGATATGGAGCCCATTGAAACACCTCTTATTAAAGGGAACTTGTTAAAGAAAGATTTTTTAATAGCTCAAACTACTTCGAGGCAATAAAGGCACCAAACGGATTATTAGACCATGATCTGAGGTTAGAAAAAGGACACCAGTCTGACTGATTGGGAAGCTATTGGAAAAAAATAAAAAGGCTATATTATGGAAACAGAGGGTCACAGCACGGGAGCATCTTGAAAAGCCATAGGTGTGCTGATTACATTCACTGAGACATTAGTGAATGCTTTGTGTGTGCTTGTTTTGCAGGTCTTTTGTATGAGGTATTTTAGATAAACTGATTTCACAGAGGAGGAGGAAGGTAATAGTGTCACATTGTGTTAATACACCAACTCGCCACCTTTGGGATCAAATTTGGTGCAGGGCACAAGTGAATGAGTTTGGTGCCTCAAGCTAGGCTACCACTGCTATTTATCCTTAAACAAAATCACAATCATTTGCTGGCAGCCAGGATTGAAACCTAGGCTGAGACAGCAAGAGTGTTACAGGTCAGGAGGAAGATGAGCTGAGAGAGCTGGGTTGGGTAACCACCCATTACCTCCGGGTCTCCAGCCTGGCTTCAGCTCATATGCTACCAACCAACTATTCTCATCCTAAACACTAAATTCACACTGAATGTTGCCTTTGCCTGAAACCAACACTGATATCCCATAACATTTCATGAACCTCTAGTTATCAAAGTCCTCATCACTCAGTCAGTTCTATTAATAATAAAAGCAATTTCATAGACACTGTGGAAACGGAGTCCTATTTTTAGAAATTTCCCTTAGCAAAATAATGTAACTTGTTTGTTCCAGTGAATTCTAAATCTAAACCTTGCTTGCTCTCTCTTTACTCAGTGAAGGGCTTTTGTGCTGTCTCATGTAAACACAGAGAATTAAAAAACAATGACTGTGTGAGACATTTACAGAGATCTCATACTGAAAAGGGCACATGTTTTATTGTGACTCTGTGTCAAAAGTGTAGTTCATCAGAGGACAGGAGGCAAAAAAAAACAGGCAATCAATATTTGGCCTCTGATATCTGAACTGAGAAAGAATCATTATCCTGTTACTTTATTGTAGGCATGATGCTTGAAGTATGCACCCTTGTTTCCATAATCAATCCAATATTTTGGGTTGTAGATTTTTAAAACCCTCAAAA